CCAAGACAAACCTGCAGCCCTTATCATGAAAAAGATTTTAGCAAAAAACTAGTGAGCCAATGGCAATCCATGCTCTCATCTTATAAATCCAATTTGATCTGGATTTATTAAGGATAGACAGATCTCTCCAAATATTATTGGACTACGTGGAATCATCCATAATGCCAGACCGATAAAACAAATTCCTCTCTTTTTGACTTGATGCACAAAGCCTCTGATAGAATACAGTGAAACTTTTGTTTCTAATCCTACCCTATATGGACATTGGTCCCCAGTTCTGTAAATGGATAACTGCTCTTTACACAAAAGCAGCTGTATGAGTTAATGGACTTAAATCTCCCATTTGAACTACACGGAGGGACTAGGCAGGGATGTCCACTCTCTCTACTTCTTGCACTGGCCCCAGAACTTTTTGCCCAGAGGATAAGGGACAGTGAATCTGTATCGGAATAAAACTTGCAGGAGCACATCAAAAAATAGCTTTATATACAAATGATGTAATATTTTTATCTAAACCAAATATTTCCCTAAAATTAGTTTCTTAAAAAAATCCATAACTTTGGGAAAGCATCTGGATTTAAAGGAAAATATGCCAAATCTGAAATGCTAGGTATAAATTTACCAGACTTTGAAAAGTCACTCCTCCAGGAAAAAAAAAAAAAAGTACAATTGAGCAGCAAACCCTATAAGATACTTGGGAATTCAAATCTTAAACAACACATAAGGTGCTCTGTAATTTAAATGTCAATCCACTACTTCAGCAAATGTAAAAAAAATCTGGAGTGCTGGAGAAAGTATGCCATTTCTTGACTGAGAAGAACAGTCACAGTCAAAATGTAAGTTTTGCCAAGGTCATTTTTCTGCTTTCAATCTTTCTGTGATCATCCCAGACAAAACCCGAGCACAAATACAGAGGATGGTAGTTGTGGAAAAATTCACATGCCAAATATATACCCAGCAAAATAGACAGAAGACAAAGAGATAAATATTTGGTTACCTTTTATTCAACGTAAAGTATGTTCACATGCAAAAATACCCAGAGCACCTATCCAAGTTTTTTAGCATATTAACATTTGATAGGTTTCAGAGTAACAGCCGTGTTAGTCTGTATTCGCAAAAAGAAAAGGAATACTTGTGGCACCTTAGAGACTAACCAATTTATTTGAGCATAAGCTTTCGTGAGCTACAGCTCACTTCATCGGATGCATACTGTGGAACTGCAGAAGACATTATATACACAGAGACCATGAAACAATACCTCCTCCCACCCCACTCTCCTGCTGGTAACAGCTTATCTAAAGTGATCACTCTCTCCTTACAATGTGTATGATAATCAAGTTGGGCCATTTCCAGCACAAATCCAGGTTTTCTCACCCTCCGCCCCCCCCCCCCACAAACTCACTCTCCTCTTCTTCCTCAGCTCTTGTCCCCTAATGCCCCTACTCTACTTGCGCTATATTGATGACATCTTCATCATATGGACCCATGGAAAAGAAGCCCTTGAGGAATTCCACCATGATTTCAACAATTTCCATCCCACCATCAACCTCAGCCTGGTCCAGTCCACACATGAGATCCACTTTCTGGACACTACAGTGTTAATAAACGATGGTCACATAAACACCACCCTATACCGGAAACCTACTGACCGTTATTCTTACCTACATGCCTCCAGCTTTCACCCTGACCACACCACACGATCCATCGTCTACAGCCAAGCTCTGCGATACAACCGCATTTGCTCCAACCCCTCAGACAGAGACAAACACCTACAAGATCTCTATCAAGCATTCTTACAACTACAATACCCACCTGCGGAAGTGAAGAAACAGATTGATAGAGCCAGAAGAGTTCCCAGAAGTCACCTACTACAGGACAGGCCTAACAAAGAAAATAACAAATGCCACTAGCCGTCACCTTCAGCCCCCAACTAAAACCCCTCCAACACATTATTAAGGATCTACAACCTATCCTGAAGGATGACCCAACACTCTCACAAATCTTGGGAGACAGGCCAGTCCTTGCCTACAGACAGCCCCCCAACCTGAAGCAAATACTCACCAACAACCACATACCACACAACAGAACCACTAACCCAGGAACCTATCCTTGCAACAAAGCCCGTTGCCAACTGTGCCCACATATCTATTCAGGGGACACCATCACAGGGCCTAATAACATCAGCCACGCTATCAGAGGCTCGTTCACCTGCACACCCCCCAATGTGATATATGCCATCATGTGCCAGCAATGCCCCTCTGCCATGTACATTGGTCAAACTGGACAGTCTCTACGTAAAAGAATAAATGGACACAAATCAGATGTCAAGAATTATAACATTCATAAACCAGTCAGAGAACACTTCAGTCTCTCTGGTCAAGCAATTACAGACATGAAGGTCGCTATCTTAAAACAAAAAAACTTCAAATCCAGACTCCAGCAAGAAACTGCTGAACTGGAATTCATTTGCAAATTGGATACTATTAATTTAAGCTTAAATAGAGACTGGGAGTGGCTAAGTCATTATGCAAGGTAGCCTATTTCCCCTTGTTTTTTCCTACCTCCTTCCCCCCCCAGACGTTCTGGTTAAACTTGGATTTGTGCTGGAAATGTCCCAATTTGATTATCATGCACATTGTAGGGAGAGTGGTCACTTTAGATAAGCTATTACCAGCAGGAGAGTGAGTGAGTTTGTGTGTGTGTGTTTTGGGGGGGGGGAGGGGGTGAGAAAACCTGGATTTATGCTGGAAATGGCCCAACTTGATTATCATACACATTGTAAGGAGAGGTTTCAGAGGAACAGCCGTGTTAGTCTGTATTCGCAAAAAGAAAAGGAGTACTTGTGGCACCTTAGAGACTAACCAATTTATTTGAGCATAAGCTTTCGTGAGCTACAGCTCACTTTATCGGATGCATACTGTGGAAACTGCAGAAGACATTATATACACAGAGACCATGAAACAATACTTCCTCCCACCCCACTCTCCTGCTGGTAATAGCTTATCTAAAGTGATCACTCTCCTTAGTGATTACTCTCCTGGTGAAGTGAGCTGTAGCTCACGAAAGCTCATGCTCAAATAAATTGGTTAGTCTCTAAGGTGCCACAAGTACTCCTTTTCTTTTAACATTTGATAGACATGCCTGGTCTGATAAATGTGTAATCAGAGCTGTCACTTCACTTAATCAAACCCCTAGACGGGACATGTCCTAGGTGCTGTAAGGATGCTTGCTCTGGGCAATGGTGTTGAACAGAGAACTCTGGTGACCACAGTCCTATACAACATGCGGCTGAGTTTGCTGGTTTGGTGCTGCTAATTGGTTTTGCTGGTACAGGCAGTCCTCGACCTTACAACGTTTGCGTTACAATGAATGGCACTTAGGACGCTTCTACGCTGACACCCTGATTCAACTTACGACTATAGGTTTTGAGTTTACGATGCTCGATCCCGCAGTGGAGTAGATTGCGGTTCTGAGTTATGACTTGACACAATTGTAAGGAACAAAACTGTGTTGTAAGTCCGAGGACTGCCTGTTTTTATATGGCTTGGATTTACACACCTGTTAGGACGTCCCACATGAACAAATAGCATTAACCACAACAAAGCTGCACTGCCAACGCAGGTTCAAATGGCAGGGAGACCACAGCAGCTCGCATCCAAACCCCCCACCCCTGCTCTGCAGGCTTTGGGGCAAGCGGTGAAGAGGGGCAAAGCAGAACTACTGTAAGGTACCCCCAAGTTCAGCCCAGAAGCTTTCTGCCAGGCAGACTCCTGGGAACCGAGACCCCTGACAGTCCACACAGCCTCCCATGACGCACGCCAGCAGGGTGAGGAAGACTTAGAGTTGCCTGGTGTCTGGTTTTCAACCAGAACGCCTGGTTGAAAAGGGACCCTGTCAGCTATGGTCAGCACTGCTGACTGGGCCATTAAAAATCTGATCGGTGGCACAGCAGGGCTAAGGCAGGCTCCCTGTCTGCCACGGCTAGGTGCTGCTCCTGGAAGCAGTGGCATGTCTCCCAGCTCTGGCTCCTATGTGTAGGAGCAACCAGGGGACTCTGCACACTGCTCCTGCCGCAAGTGCTGGTTCTACAACTCCCATTAGCTGGGAACCATGGCCAAAGGGAGCTGCGGGGGTGGTGCCTGGGGATGGACAGCGCTCAGAGTCGTCTGGCCATGCCTCCACATAGAAGCTGTAGGAGGGACATGCTGATGCTTCCAGGAGCTGCTTGAGGAAAGTGCTGCCCAGAGCCTGCAGCCCTGTGCCCCTCCCGCATCCCAACCCCCTGCCCCAGCCCTGATCCCCCTCCCATCTTCCAAACCCCTCAGTCCCAGCCCCACCCTCCTACACCCCAACCCCCTCATCCCTATCTGAACCCCCAGTTGGAGCCCTCACCTGCCCCCCCCCCCACTGCAATCCCTGGCCCCAGCCCAGGGCCCTCTCCCACTCTCCAACCCCCCCCCAGCTCGAGTCCCCTCCGGCACCCCAAATCCCTCATTCCTGGCCCCTCACCAGAGCTCTTGCCCCCCCTGCACCCCAACCCCCTGCCTCAGCCCAGAACCCCCTCCCACACCCTGAACCTCGTGGCTCCACCCGCCAACACCCCTCATCCATGGCCCTAGCCCCGAGCCCTCAGCCCCTCCTGCATCCCAACCCACAGCCTCAGGGCAGAGCCTCCTCCCGCACCCTGAACTCATTTCTGACCCCACCCCAGAGCATGCACCCCTCCCCGCACCCCACCTCCCTGAGCCAGCCTGGTGAAAATGAGCGAGCGAGCGAGCGGGGCCCTCGGAGGACGGGCGGGACAAGGGTGTTTCAGTTTGTGCCAACAAAACGTTGGCAACCCTCGGAAGACTCTGAACTTCCGCTGGCGCCGGGACGCTGCCCCCGCTCACCGGCTCTAGGGGCTTGGATTCCGGCCCCCGCCCCGCCCGAGCAGCTCCCTGTCCCTGCGGCAGCGGCGACGACGCGGCGACGGGAGGAGTCCAACCCTCGCGCCTGCGCACTCTCTGGCCGCAGCGGCGCCGCTTGATGACGTTTGAGGGGCGCGCGCGGAGGGGGCCCCAGATCGCGAGGCCCCGCCAGCATGAAGGAGACGCCGCTGTCCAACTGCGAGCGGCGCTTCCTGCTGCGCGCCATCGAGGAGCGGAAGGTACGAGACCGAGACCCCCCCCCCCCACCCCCGCTTTCCCCTCCCCCACAGCGCCGCCACCGGCCGGGCCCCCGTCCCTCCCTGCGGGTCGGACCCGGGGCTGCCCCGCGCGGGTGGTGACTCTGCTCTCGGCTTTGCAGCGCTTGGACGGGCGGCAGAGCTACGACTACAGGAACGTGCGGATCTCCTTCGGCGCCGACTACGGCTGCTGCATCGTGGAGCTGGGGAGGACCAGGTACCGCGGGGAGCCCCCCACCCGTCACTGTGTGGCTCGTGGCGGTACCCCGTGTCTCCCCACAGCCGCCGCGCCCTGGCCCTGCCGGAGCGGCCCCGATTGCCCTCGTGCCCGCGGGGTGCGGATGCAGCGCAGCGGCCTGCAGGAGGACGGTAGCGATGGGGGGAGGGGTTGGCGCTGAGGAAAACAAATAGAGGTTGGGCTCCCTTGAGGTGTTTATAGGTACAGCGTGGAAAGCTGCCGATGAGCGGATCTTTATGTCCAAGCCCTGGATGTTGGCAATTCATTAATTTCCCCCATCCAAGGATCTCAAATTAAGCCTCGCAACACCCTTGGGAAGTAGATGGTATCTCTCTCCTATAGGCTGGGGGAACTGAAGTAGACACAAGTAAATTGTTCGAGCTCCCACAGTGGTAAAATTAGGAATAAACCGCAAGAAATTTGAACTTCTGACCTGTGCTTTAACGTCTAGATCCTGCTTATTCCCTGTTCGTGACTGTCATTTTATCTGTATAACCAAGTCCTATATATGAAGAAGCTGTAATAAACTGGAGATGTGCAGTAAAATTGAAGGTTTCAGAGTAGCAGCCGTGTTAGTCTGTATTCGCAAAAAGAAAAGGAGTACTTGTGGCACCTTAGAGACTAACCAATTTATTTGAGCATAAGCTTTTGTGAGCTACAGCGTCCGATGAAGTGAGCTGTAGCTCACGAAAGCTTATGCTCAAATAAATTGGTTAGTCTCTAAGGTGCCACTAGTACTCCTTTTCTTTTTAGTAAAATTGAAGTGTAAGTTGCTTTAATGTTAAAGTTGTTTTTGTCACCCATACTGAAGTCTTTTGGGGTTTGTGGGGGGGGTTTCTTTTGCAGAGTCCTTGGGCAGGTTTCATGTGAACTTGTTTCCCCAAAGCTAAATCGAGCTACAGAGGGTATACTTTTCTTTAATCTTGAGCTCTCCCCAATGGCTGCACCAGCTTTTGAGCCTGGCAGGTATGTCTCTTCAGTGACTACAGGCAAGGATGGCATAAGGAAAGCTATTCAGTTTCATAGTTTCAGACTTATTAATAACTCACAACTAAAATGTACCCAATCTCTTGTTTTTTCCAGGCAATCTGACCTTTTGGTGAAACTGAATCGACTACTAGAAAGATGCCTAAGAAACTCAAAATGTATAGACACTGAATCTCTCTGTGTTGTTGCTGGTGTAAAGGTGTGAAAAACGCTATGAAATCAAAAGGTCTTTAATACTAGGGGATTAATATGTTGCGTTTAGAGGTCAGTCTGTCTTTGAGGACCAGTAATCTTGATTTTATTTTAAAAGGCCAAGGTTCCAGCTGTCCAAACATAGATGTGTTTAACTTTAAGGTTGTGCATAGTCCCTTTATAGTCAATGGGCTATGTACATGCTAAAGCTAATCATATGCATGAATGTTTACAGCAGCAGTTCTCAAACTGTGGGTTGGGACCCCAAAGTGGGTCACAACCCCATTTTTAATGGGGTCACCAGGGCTGGCTCAGACTTGCTGGGGTCTCAGGCCAGAACCGAAGCTTGAGCCCTACTTCCCAGGGCCGAAGCTGAAGCTTGAGCACCACTGCCCAGGGAGCAAGGCTCAGGTTACAGGTCCCTTGCCTGGGGCTGAAGCCCTTGGGCTTTGGCTTTGGCTTCCTCACCCAGGGCAGTGGGGCTTGGGCTTTGGCATTGGCCCCACCACCTGGGGCGGTGCGGCTCAGGCTTCGGCTGGGGTCGTGTAGTAATTTTCCTTGTCAGAAGAGGGTCGCAGTGCAGTGATGTTTGAGAATCCCTGGTTTACAGGATCAGGGCTGAAATCATACTTCAGTTTTATTTTCTTCATCACAAATTAATAGTGTTGAAAACAGATACTGTCTCTGTTTGGATTTATTCAGTTTTCATCATAATTTTTGATGATCAAGAACTGAATTATACTTACCTTCAACATGAATAGTAAAAAGCTATTTTGAAAAGATGTTGGAAAATTCATACAAGTGACCAGGACTACAGTTTAGTGAATTTTCATGTTGTTTTTCCCCGCTAACCCCCACCCCCTCCCAGGTGTGGCAAATTCGTGTGGACCTGCATTTGTTGAATCATGATGGAAACATTATTGATGCTGCAAGTATAGCAGCAATAGTGGCTTTGTGTCACTTCCGTAGACCAGATGTATCTGTGCAAGGAGAGGAAGTAACTTTGGTGAGTAGGATGAGGTGAAAGTGGTGGGATTATTGAAATTAAAATTTCATTGATTGCTGCTCTATGTAAAATGGATCTTTGTCAACAGAGACAAGTTAAGTTTTAGAGGTAGAGCTACTTAAAATATCAAGGGATAGGAATAGATCCATTTGTTTTTATCAATATGTATAGTATACAGTTACTGATTTTCAATTTGAGAGACTGTAAACATTAAGAAATAAGGATGACCTTTTTAGCACTTTTTTGTACTTCTCAGCCAAACTGGAAGGGGTCAAATGGCACAAAAATGGGTACAGTACAGTTACCTAGATAGGTAATATTAACAGGAAATAACATTTTAAAAAGAGAGAGCGAATCAAGTCATGTTGAATTTTTAGATGATAGGCTTTTCTTACTTTTTGTCTTAGTATTTTCTTTTAAATTATATATGGAATTGGGTAAGTAACAAATTTCCACCTTGACTATTTATATTTTTAGTATACCCCTGAGGAACGTGATCCTGTCCCTTTGAGTATCCATCACATGCCTATCTGTGTCAGTTTTGCCTTTTTCCAGCAAGGGTAAGTTTCTGTTATGGCACTGACTTAAATCATCTACCAGTTTCTGCAGAACTGGAAGAAAAACATACATTTCCATAAATAGCCATGTTAACAAAATGCACTAGTGAACTAACTTTATCTGAAATGAGAAGGTGTGAAGAAGAGGTGTTCCTCTTCATGCTGCAGTGTGTAACATGAAATTTCTGTAGACTTTTCATAAAAATGTACACTTATGAAATCGGTCTCCTTGGGTATACTCATCCCCAAAACCATGAAGCTTGTTTGTGTAATTTGTCTCCTGCCCTTATAGTTTCAGGCAAGCAGGTTACACTTAACTATTGTGTCCTATTCAACAATGGTTTCAGAACCTATTTGTTGGTGGATCCCAGTGAACGAGAGGAACGTGTAATGGATGGCCTCCTAGTGATTGCCATGAATAAACATCGTGAGATTTGTACTATCCAGTCCAGTGGAGGGATTATGCTGTTAAAAGATCAGGTAAATGGCATTTTCTTTGAGTCATTCTCTCTGGTATAAACTTCTTGAAGTATTGTAATATTGAACCGTCTAGTAGTGTTTTGATGTGAGAGAAGAATGGTATCTCTCTGTCTGATTGCATAGAAAACTGGATAGGAAATGTAAACATGACAGTTCTTTGGGGGGATGGTCTAAACTCCAAATGTTTGGTCTCATACTCTGTACTTCTTGAATGGAGTTTAAGGTAATTGGGACAGCAATCTCTTAACATTTCCAAGTGGTATTTATAAGTCTTTCTAAATATAAACGTGTTTCTTGACTATAACAAATAACTTATTGCTGCCAGATTCCAATGCTCCTCTGTTAGTATTTGTGTAGCCGCTAGTCTTGAAATATTTGTCACTTTAATCTGAAATGAAACGAAACTTAATAATATTGGAAGTCTTTTTCATTCTTAAGATGGCACATAGCTCTTTTTTCTAATTATTAATGAATTTGGTAGTTCAGTATAAATCTGTGCATACAATATATAACATATGACAGACTGCTCAGGTTAAACAGTACTAACTAGGCATAAAGCATATTTCCTCTATCAAACAAATTCTTAGCTAAAGGTTTGTGGGGAAGCTTCCATTTGAACTTCCTGACTGAGACATCATTCATAGGTCATTAGCATCTAGCAGTACAAAAAAAAGTACGTTTTCACTTAAATTAAGTATAAAGTTATGTTTATTTTAATTGCATGATAATAAATTATTGTTCACTACAAACAGGTTCTGAGATGCAGTAAAATAACTGGTGTTAAAGTAGCAGAGATCACAGAGCTAATTCAAAAGGCCTTGGAGAATGACCGGAAAGTTAGGTGAGATTGTTAAAATGCATTGTATTGGAAGTTAATATGTTTGTGGGGTCAGATTATTCTTGTACTGTTTTCCTGTGAGTGGAGTCTCTGAAAGAGAAGCTGTGCAACTGATTGTCTTCAATAAGCGGTGTTATACTCAGACTCAGCTAATAGTTCTGTTTTCTCTGAAGAGATGATTGTATTGACACCCTCAAGCCAATTGTATTTGATGCATGATGCAAAACAACTACCGTGGGAAACCTTGGGGAGGAGGGGAGAGAATAAAGTTGGAAAAAGAAAAGCTTAGTTGTTTAAAGAAGATGGCATGATACTAATAAAACAGCCACAATCAATAAAGGATTGCTGTTCTCAGGTGACTGAGACCACAACTAGGGAAAACTTGGCCTTCTCAGTTCAGTTTTTGTGCCTGATCTCAAACAGGAACAAATTTTCTGTATTGTTTAACTTAACACAGGGGTTCTCAAACTGGGGGTCGGGACCCCTCAGGTCATGAAGTTATTACATAGGGGGGTCGTGAACTCTCAGCCCCTATCGCAAACCCCACTTTGCCTCCAGCATTTATAATGGTGTTAAGTATATTAAAAAGTGTTTTTAATTTATATGGGGAGGGGGGGTCACACTCAGAGGCTTGCAGTGTGAAAGGGTTCACCAGTACAAAAGTTTGAGAACCACTGACTTAACAGTTTAAACAGCTAACCTGTTTTTTTTAGTGTTGCTGTTGTAAATCTCATCTCTGTATATAACTGAACTCTCTCTAACTTGACTTTTTGAAATGTAAAATGTCTTAAAACATAATTTTTGTATTTATTTAATAAATAGGAAAGAAGGTGGAAAGTTTGGCTTTGCAGAGTCTATACCAGATCAAAAGATCTCTGCCTTTAAAATGGAAAGAGCTCTTGTTGATACTAAAGATGTGGAAGAGCAAGCTGAAGAAATCATCACCAAGGCTGACTCCCCTTCAGATGTGTATCTTTTCTACTATATCACTTTAGTGAGAAGACAGTGATATCTCACTGTTAAAACTTTCTGAATCACGCAATACATCTTGAGTTTCTCGTTTCTTTGAAGGCTATGACTACATCATGATCATCTATATCTTCTTTTATTTATAGAAAGTGTATCCCGGTAGAAAGAAAAAGAGTACTTGTGGTACCTTAGAGACTAACCAATTTATTTGAGCATAAGCTTTCGTGAGCTACAGCTCACTTCATCGGATGCATACTGTGGAAAGTGTAGAAGATCTTTTTATACACACAAAGCATGAAAAAATACCCCCACCCCACTCTCCTGCTGGCAATTTCCCATCTAAAGTCATCACTCTCTCCTTACAATGTGTATGATAATCAAGTTGGGCCATTTCCAGCACAAATCCAGGGTTTAACAAGAACGTCGGGGGGCGGTAGGAAAAAACAAGGGGAAATAGGTTACCTTGCGTAATGACTTAGCCACTCCCAGTCTCTATTCAAGCCTAAGTTAATTGTATCCAATTTGTAAATGAATTCCAATTCAGCAGTCTCTTGCTGGAGTCTGGATTTGAAGTTTTTTTGTTGTAATATCGCAACTTTCATGTCTGTGCAGCATCACTTGCCCCATAACCTCAGCCGTGCGGAACACAATGCCATCCACAGCTTCAGAAACAACTCTGACATCATAATCAAAAAGGCTGACAAAGGAGGTGGTTTTGTCATCATGAATAGGTCTGAATATGAACAAGAGGCTGCTTGGCAGCTCTCCAACACCACTTTCTACAAGCCATTACCCTCTGATCCCACTGAGAGTTACCAAAAGAAACTACAGCATTTGCTCAAGAAACTCCCTGAAAAAGCACAAGATCAAATCCGCACAGACACACCCCTGGAACCCTGACCTGGGATATTCTATCTACTACCCAAGATCCATAAACCTGGAAATCCTGGGCGCCCTATCATCTCAGGCATTGGCACCCTGACAGCAGGATTGTCTGGCTATGTAGACTCCCTCCTCAGGCCCTACGCTACCAGCACTCCCAGCTACCTTCGAGACACCACTGACTTCCTGAGAAAACTACAATCCATCGGTGATCTTCCTGATAACACCATCCTAGCCACTATGGATGTAGAAGCCCTCTACACCAACATTCCACACAAAGATGGACTACAAGCCGTCAAGAACACTATCCCCGATAATGTCACGGCTAACCTGGTGGCTGAATTTTGTGACTTTGTCCTTACCTATAACTTTTACATTTGGGGACAATGTATACCTTTCAAATCAGCGGCACTGCTATGGGTACCTGCATGGCCCCACAGTATGCCAACATTTTTATGGCTGACTTAGAACAACGCTTCCTCAGCTCTCGTCTCCTAACGCCCCTACTCTACTTGCGCTATATTGATGACATCTTCATCATCTGGACCCATGGAAAAGAAGTCCTTGAGGAATTCCACCATGATTTCAACAATTCCCATCCCACCATCAACCTCAGCCTGGTCCAGTCCACACAAGAGATCCACTTCCTGGACACTACAGTGCTAATAGACGATGGTCACATAAACACCACTCTATACCGGAAACCTACTGACTGCTAGTTCTACCTACGTGCCTCCAGCTTTCACCCTGACCACACCACACGATCCATCGTCTACAGCCAAGCTCTGCGATACAACCGCATTTGCTCCAACCCCTCAGACAGAGACAAACACCTACAAGATCTCTATCAAGCATTCTTACAACTACAATACCCACCTGCAGAAGTGAAGAAACAGATTGATAGAGCCAGAAGAGTTCCCAGAAGTCACCTACTACAGGACAGGCCTAACAAAGAAAATAACAAATGCCACTAGCCGTCACCTTCAGCCCCCAACTAAAACCCCTCCAACACATTATTAAGGATCTACAACCTATCCTGAGGGATGACGCAACACTCTCACAAATCTTGGGAGACAGGCCAGTCCTTGCCCACAGACAGCCCCCCAACCTGAAGCAAATACTCACCAGCAACCACATACCACACAACAGAACCACTAACCCAGGAACCTATCCTTGCAACAAAGCCCGTTGCCAACTGTGCCCACATATCTATTCAGGGGACACCATCACAGGGCCTAATAACATCAGCCACACTATCAGAGGCTCGTTCACCTGCACACCCACCAATGTGATATGTCATCATGTGCCGGCAGTGCCCCTCTGCCATGTACATTGGTCAAACTGGACAGTCTCTACGTAAAAGAATAAATGGACACAAATCAGATGTCAAGAATTATAACATTCATAAACCAGTCGGAGAACACTTCAATCTCTCTGGTCACGTGATTACAGACATGAAAGTTGCGATATTACAACAAAAAAACTTCAAATCCAGACTCCAGTGAGAGACTGCTGAATTGGAATTCATTTGCAAATTGGATACAATTAACTTAGGCTTGAATAGAGACTGGGAGTGGCTAAGTCATTACACAAGGTAACCTATTTCCCCTTGTTTTTTCCTACCCCCCTCTTCCACCAAGACGTTCTTGTTAAACCTTGGATTTGTGCTGGAAATGGCCCACCTTGATTATCATACACATTGTAAGGAAAGTGATCACTTCGGATGGGCAATTGCCAGGGGGAGAGTGGGGTGGGGGGCGGTATTTTTTCATGCTTCGTGTGTATAAAAAGATCTTCTACACTTTCCACAGTATGCATCCGATGAAGTGAGCTGTAGCTCACGAAAGCTTATGCTCAAATAAATTGGTTAGTCTTTAAGGTGCCACAAGTACTCCTTTTCTTTTTGCGAATACAGACTAACACGGCTGTTACTCTGAAACCTATCCCGGTAGAGGAATTCATAGTATAGCATGTTGATCAGGAGTGTGTGGGTTTTCTGCCAGAATCCTTCTCTGCCTCCCTTTTCCATTACTCCTCTAATGCCTCTGAATCCTTCAGCTAAGGAAGGTTCAGTGCAGCTCCATGTGGCATTATTAATTTCTATTCCACGGCTATAGAAAAGGGGAATCACTCAACGGCAACGTGAGGCCCTTCTAGGGGAGATGAGTTCTGCAGCACAGGCAGCAAAAAGATGAACCCAACTAAGTTCTGCCTGGCAATGTGGGGCTCAGCTGTGAAGGTGATCAGTTGTCTCATCCATTGTGCATACGTTAGGCATTTTTACTTTGTCAGCTGTTCAAGAGAACACTGACTTGCCATTTTGCTCAAATGAATTTCTTCACATCACGTGCTCAGCCCTTGGTACCCACTGCAGATTGTTTATGTACTTCAACTTTCCAAATAATTTACCTAGTTCAACATGCTGTGCAATGAGAGTAAAAATAAGAATTCTGGCAATTTACAGATTTTTCTTAATTAGCTCAGTTTTGCCAAACCAGTACTGAGGATGCCTGGGATGGCCCAACTTGGGGAGGGGATAGAGAACTCCTGGGGAGACCTTGAAGAATCTGAGAGAGAGGAGGAAGAGGAAGGTAACAGTGATGATGCTACCACCTCAGAGGGTCAGAAAATGGAAATGGAAGAGAGAAATGTTGTGAGGAATACTAAGAAGGGTTAGTATCTGCTTTAAATGTAATATTACCGAAAACACCGTTCGTGTATTAATTCTGGTGTATTTGAAGCTGTGTCCCCTCCTTAGCAGCAAGAAGGGGAAAACATCATAGGAACTTGCCAGCAGGAAGATGCAGCTGCCAACTGCAAAATGACCACTTTAGAGCTGTTATGGCTTACATCTGCCAAATTTAAATATCCAACCCCAGAAAGACATGCTGGGAGTAGAGGGTGGAGTTTTTACAAGAGGGAAACCCTACACTGGGGAATTAGTAGGGACCAGAAAGTAACAAAGAAAGGTGCTTTTGGGGAAAGGACCTGCTTTGTTTTGTGCCTGTTGCCATTATGTCAGTATCTAATGAAAGCAAAATACCAGACAAACCAATGAGAATGGTCTTCGGGCTCTGTCCTCTACCTACTGTTGAGAGATGTGGCAGAGGCAGCAGGATACTAAACCAAACTCAGCCACTCTTCTAAAAGTGTTCAGTTTATAACAGCTAAAATAAAGTATCAGTTGTTTTAAAGTTATTGTGCTCGAAGGGTGATTCTGGCCCTTGAGTTGCACACTAGAGTGACAAAAACATATCCCCCCTGCGTTAAAATGTCTCTAGGTGTGTAGTAATGATTTATACTCACAGAAATGTGATGTACAAAACAACACTCAGGTTTTACAGTAATATAAATAACAGTTTTCTCTTGTTTGTTTGTAAGGTGATGACACAATTGTACTGTCTGACAGTGAAGAAGAGGAAGTTGTCATTCTGGAACCAGAGGAGAGGCCGAAGAAAACACGGTAACCACAACTATGTAGTTAAAGGGGAAAAAATCTTTAAAACAGCATACTGTGTTGAGACAAGGAATAGTTTCAGCAAGTACGGTATACTTCCTTGTGCCTACGCTTGTCAAGGAAAACATTGCTCTCAGATAATGGGGCCAGATCCTCAGCCTGTTCTTGGTTCTTTGCACTGCCTAAGGGAGCCGCCAAGGATTCTCTTAATGTTGGGGAATCTAGGGATAGTGTATTTACTTGTATTACTGTAGTGCCTGAGTCCTTGTCGTGAACCAGGAGCCCATTGTGCTAGCTATTGTACAAACTGAATAAAAAGACAGTCTCTGCCCTGAATCAGCAGGTTCAGCTCTATGCCACCTCTCACATAGGGGGTAAGGCCAAAGCATCCAGTGTTTGGGCTAATCAGCACCTGCTAAAGCAGTGCCTATGGGACTGCTCCAGCTGGTGCAATTTAAATCTATTTGGATGTTCTGAGTTACCCTGTGGTAGCAAAAGGGTGGATTAGAGCCTCCTATCCTACTCCTCAGGTGTGCTGCAGTGGATTCTGCCCACTGAATAGGATAGAGTCCACATTTCCCAGCTCTAACTACTAATGCAACAGGAGCTTGTATTATTTTTAGCACAGATTTATTACCTTCTTTATAAGAACCATGCAACTCAATGCTAATAGAAATGATGGTATCTAGAAAGGTAGTCTGCTCTAACATGTTTGTTAAATGTGGATTTGTGTTGCAGAGGTTGTTTGCAGTTTGGATGGGGCTTTCCCTTAGTTTTCTTTAAACCCTGTTACAAGTAAAGCACAATTGGATTGTGGTAGGCTGGTCATGTATAGAGCTGAGATCTTGAAAACCTTTATGACTTGGGGCTTGACTTGCAGGGAACACCAGTCTAGCCACTCAGTCTTTTATTAAGCTGCTTTATTTTAGGTTAAATGTTGTTTGTTCACAGAACTCAAACCAGCGCCAAACAAGAAAATTCTTCAAATAAGAAAGCATTTAACAAAAAAAGAAAAAAGAAGAGAGCGACTCATTAGTCATGTTCCCTTCCAAATAATTGTATAGATTAATACTTAAATGAGACACTTACTCTGTATATTAAGCTACTGAATGTATTTTTGTAGATCAGTTTTCCTTGTTCCCCCCCATTTCTGAAACTTAGATCTACTTCTCTGTATATTTTTTTATATAATAGTGTACATTTGTCTTGCAATAAACTAAACATTCAAAAGTGTCAGCATTTGAGTAGAAGGTATAATAGGGTGGTAACTAAGTAAGCATACTCTTGAATTGCACATTAAAACTGAGCAAAAACACCTGTAAATATTAACACTTCCATCTCATAAGAGCTTCTTCTCAAAGCCTTTTAACTTCATTTTAAGGCAGTGCATATCTACATTTCTAAGTATTAAGGTTCTGGATTGGCATGGTTTGATTTTCTGTTCAATCTAAGCATAAGCTTCATCCAGTACCTCTTCACATCAACAGAATTAGTTGCAGTGGAATTATTGAGAGTGAATTAGGCCTCATGTCTGCAAGAGATGGGTGTTGTAGACAAAGCAAACAAGAAATTAAGAGACTGCCTGTAGTCTTTGTTAATGTTTATTTTTAAACATATCAGTTTAACCATGTTTCATGAAAATTAAGGAATACTTCTTAAACTGTAAGTCTAAAAAGACCTATCCTAGAACACTAGAACTTACTGAAACAAAGTAGGAAGAAGGATCTATGCAATAGTATCAGACAAGTTAGTCTCATGAAGCAGTTGAGATTTTAGAAGATGAAATAGACAAACAGGAAAATCCATACAAGAGGAGAGTAGAAATAACTTACATCTTATTTCATGTGTTCATAAGTTATATATAGTAAAACTGAGAATTTAATTTTGCCCCTGTAACTTTAAAGCTTAGCAAAAGTGCTTCTTGGCAGAGCTCTTTACGTACCTCTTAGGAAATAAATGTTGTTCTTAAAAGGAAGACCAAACATGTTTGTTTGCAGTATCAGATTTTTTTTTTAAAATGGGGAAGAAATGGCAAGTGTAAAATATATGAATGGGTCCAAACTCAGTGTTTTATAGATGCTGCAAGTGAAGTTTTCACTTAAGTCAATGTAGGGCACTATTGTAAATATATATATATATTGCAGTGGTTCATACCCTGTCTTGTCTCTGTATAAAGTTTACTTCATCTTTACAGTGATCTAGCATTCTCCTTGCAGGGATCTTGTTCCATCACTTCTTCCAACCTCTAGGCTACATTGTGTTGACCTTTTCTGTTGAGGAAAAACCTGCAACTGGACCTAGTTCTGTGAAAGGCTGTACAAACAAGCTGTTTGCTGTACAGTACAATCTGCTTTTGCCTCAGGGAAAGATTTAGCCTAGTAGTGCAGCCTGTGTGCATTATAGCTGAGGTAAAAGGACAGAAGATGCTGGGAACTTTACAGAAAAATGTTAGGACTTCAAGGGAAAAGGACAAGGGGTAATAGAGATGAGATTATGAAGTAAAGGGGGAAGAGATATACCATGAACAGAGCTGTGCTCTTTAATATTAGAGGTCCCTCAATCTTAACAGGCTTAAGGCATCCACCCACAGGAGTAAAGGGGTGTATTAGTACTGTATAGCATGGGGAGGGGGGTTAGTGAAGCAGTTTTGATGCTATAAAAAAGCAGTATAATAGGAAGCAGACAGGCATAGTAACATTTCTTCTCAAAAGACAAGATTGTTAAACTGCTTTTCATGTAGCTTTAAGGTTACCTATATTGTACCACTAATGTGCACACACACAAAATTTAGAGGATGTGCTGCTTGCCTATATACACACACACACCCCCCCAAATCTAGCAGCTTTAGTGAGGTATAATACCAGTCATATTTTTTTCAATCCAACATTAAAAATTATCTATATCCTAGAAGGACTTTTAGGAAAAAAAACACAAGCAGTTGGCTCAGGGTTCCTGAGCCAAAGCCACTCCTAAACCAAAGAAAAAGGAGATAAAATTATGAGCATATTTTAGAGCATTTCAAAAACAGTATATGAAAATTAAGGCTGGTGCTAATACAGTAATTAGGATGCCTGGTGCTGGAACATAGTGTGTACATGGACTTCTTTCCAAACTTGCAGCAAAGAGACTTTAGCCTGTTAGTCTTTGGAGGGTCATTAATGGTCTACCCCTTTCCATAGGTCCAGTGGAGGTATGGTCAAGCACCCCTGGGGAAGCCAAAAGGAAATTCATGGCACCAAGCCTGCCCTCCACTTCTACTTCCCTTACCCATGCCACCCTCCACCCCTACCTTAATCAGTTGATTCAGTCAAGCCTAGGAACAGGCCTCCCAAGCAGCTTTGTACCTGTCTTTCCAGGCCAGAGTGCATTTCATGGCCAGGCCTACATAGTCAGACTCATAGGGTCAAAGAATGGTTTTGCTTGGTATAGGAAGCCAGCTGTTCCATATTTAAACAATTGGAATGAGTTAGAACATAATTTGGGTCTAGCTGACCAGTGGGGTAGTTGTCAGTTTTGGATTAGATGTCAGAGTTAAGCTATAGTTTAAACAAGGTAAAATGCCATGTTAGATTCAGAAAGGAATTTGCTTTCACTCCTGTTAGTTAGCTTGACCAAGAAGATACATTTATTTCTTGGTGTCTTGGGCTAAGTTTAGAAACAGTTAAGTCCTGCTTTATGGGGAAAAAAAAAAAAGTAGTCCCACTGTTAAGTTGGAATCAGTGGTATCAGCTACAGTGATCAATACAGATTAAGATAAGCAACACCACTGCCATCAGCTTTAGTACAGGATGTTTATTTGCCAGACTTGCAGATTTCCCTTTAAACCCTGTTCAAGATATACTGTGCTTATACAAGTTTACAGGAGGAGACAAGTCAGTTTGATTTAACTGTAAAAAGTTTTCAACTACCCCATTACTGGCAGAGTGCTACAACTTAAGCAGAAGACCAATTAAAACCTGACTGACTGTGTAAGATTTCCACTGCATAGAAGCCTGCCCAAATGGGCTGTTCTGAATTGAGTATCACTCTAGCTATAACCCATCCATGGCATGGCGCAGGCTGTGATAGTCAGCTGTATTATTCTCTTTCCCCTGTGGAGGGTGTAGTGGCAGTGGCCACTTTCCCTGCTGTAGTTTGCCACCACCCAGCTAGGAAAGCAAGTGGGAGGTAGAGCTTTAGTAATGGAGGATTGACTCTAGGGAAGCTTTTAGAGAAACTAAAGTTTTACTAAAAAATGCTGCATGAACTTTTACTAGCATCACTTAGACTAGAAAATAGCTACAAGTTAGATGCCATTTCTGTTCACACAGGAGGACACTTCAGCAGTTGTAGTTCTAGCTATCTGATGGCTGCTTTGGAGACCACTACTTAATGATAGTTGGAGCACTAAAATTGGAAAGCCTGCTTTTGAAGCAAGTCCTATTAAACCCTGCCAGCTACTAAAGTCAGTTGAATTTCTTCAAAGTGGTTTTTATATTACATATAAAGTTAAACCAAAGATTTGATCTAAATTCAGGTGAAATTAAACCTTAGTAGCATCTTGTGTTGACACAGTTGTCAAGTTTGTAATTTGTTCAAAACTGGAGGTAGAACTTGGCCTTTCAGTCACTCCAAAAGTTAAAAATCCTTATTTTATGTCCTGCTCCTTAATTGGACATTCTAGTAGTTTTAGAACAAACATTAACAGTTCACCTTCATGGTTAATTCAATACTTGAACAGAACAGCTTTATAAAAGAGCTCCAGCTAAATATTTAGAACAAGATTGCATGTACAAAAAGATTTACATTAAAACCATATAAAACTAAACTTCATAATTTCAAGTTACACCACATGTGGTATTATTCTGAAATGATTGTAAGACATCTAAAATATTTACCAGAGTTAAAACTGTACATCGTTTGCAAGTATAATACACTTTTTTTTAAAGAGTCTCTTGATTGTTACAATAAATTTAGCATCTCTGGTGGATCAATGAACGATACTCCATGGTACCTGAAGGAGAAAAGGGTATCAGATGTAGTCATGTTAGAATGATCTCTGCTGAAGGGATTACATTACAAAGATAGAATACAGCATTAACAGTTTGTAAACTAGCATATGTCTGCAATGGGGCAGACCATGTTAAATCAAACACTTAATAGGTTTAAAACTCTTTTTTTACTAGGTTTTTAGGACTAGAAGGGACATAATGGTCACCTATTGAACTTCATCAAGCAATTCCTGCTATCAGTCTCAATTTCTGGACTGAGACTACATCTTGAGTTGCAAGTCAGGACACCATCTGTTGTAGTTATTAGCTCATTATGTGAGCATACAGCAGCCAAATCACTGACAGGAGTCATGCGTGGATCCAAAAAAAGCAAAGAAGAGACTTCCAGTCTTGTGTGCGCTGACACGAGAGTAGGATAGCTAGCCTGCTTATCTTAGATTAGAGGTATGTATTGGAGTTTACCCACAGAAGTGGGTACTTACTTTGTACTCTTGTATTTCTCTCTTATGGACTGTTGTGTGTGTTGTGCTGCTCTGAGGTAGGTCTTGTGGAGGTCCATGAGACAAGGCTTAAGGCTTTCAAGGGTATATCCTGTCATTTTGGACAGAGATTCAGGCTGAAGAAAGGGAAAACAAATTGATGGAAAATCTAGCATATTAATCTGACCAGTTACTTTACAGCATTTTCCCATACTTTGAATACAAGACAAAAAGCTATACTTCATGCTATTCTAGACTGGATATTTCATGTCCCCACCTGCAGGTAGAAAGAGGTACTAGCAGAATGCATGATTCCTCAGCAAAGTAGTAAGCTGCTGTTAGTGTTATGTCAATGCACTTTACAAAAAAGTGAAAATATCAAGCTGGAACTGCCAAAGAATCTTCAGCTGCATGTAATCTTCCATTTTATACCCTCACCCGCTGATCTATAACTACTTATCAGACAAAAATTCCAATCATTCATCTTAACTGTGCTAGGCTCTAAGACATAGCAGTTTGTTCTTCCAGTAGTGGTCCTTTCCTCTGTGTGCTTCCAAGTAGTTAAGGCAAAAGAACTTTTACTGAAACAGTATTTGAGTGTTCCTGCAAGAGGCAGCCTTTAGAAGGAGGTGGTGGTACTGGAAATAGCACTAAGAGGGGTCTCAAAAAAACCCCCACCCATATTCTGTAAGGTACTTAGGTTCTCTTCTAGGGAGTTAGCCACTGTTAGAAGCTTGCTGGTTTTGGAATATAGTCAAAGGTCTGGTGTAGAAACCATTACTCAGTTCTGACTAAGGACAATTAAAATAAGACTTCAACTTTCTGTATGAGCTGTTCTTTATAGAAATTGATTGCTAGCCAAGAATAGGTTTTGATCTTATATCAGGTTGAGGGTGTGCTATTTGCTGTATTTAAGGCTGTTTACTTATAAACAAAGGAGACTTTCTAAAGCTATTTGTTCTACATACCCAGGTTTGTCCAGTGATTGTGTAGCTTGCTAGATGAAATGCTGCAGCAGCAGTAAGTGATGGCAAGTATTTCAAGTATGGGTCAGCATCAATTAGACTCAGCTCCCCCAGATACTGTAAAGAAAGTCATAGCTTCTAATTGTTCAGCAACCACCAGTACAAGATACTTACAGTCTAAGCATCTTCCTTACTAGTTTAAGTGTACTCCAACACTATTTGTTAAGTGGCCTTCAGTACAATGTTTAAGGATTTAGAGCTTTCCAGACACAAAGACAAGCATCTAATTTTTGCAGCAATATAAATATTGCTTTTAATATTCAAAGGAAAGAGTCTCAGATAAAAAAAGTAGTGTTTGGTTCTACACTTGTTCCTGTGTTATTCCACTTCATATATTTCAAAATATTTTGACTGTACTTGCATAGCTGCTGCCTGTGTCCCAAGGGAGAGTTTAGTTTTACATCAGAACAGTGAGGACTTGAAAAGGACACTTTTAATCTCAGCTAGGATTTAGTCAAATATTGGTGTAGAACAGGGGTGGGTAAACTACAGACCATGGGCTGGATCCAACCTGTCAGGGCTTTGGATCCAGCCTGCAGGACTGCCACCACTGTGGTGAAGCAGGCCCCACGCCGCTCCCAGAAGTGGCCAGCACCACATCCCTGTGGCCCCTGTAGGGTGGGTGGTGGCAGAGGGCTCCATGCATTGCCTTCATCTACAGGCACAGCCCCCTGCAGCTCCCATTGTCCGGGAACAGGGAACTACGGCCAATGGGAGCTGTCAGGGGCAGTGCCTGCAGGTGTGGGTAGTGCATTAAGCCCTCTGCCCTCCCCCAGGGAGATGGTGCCAGACACTTCTGGGAGCAGCATGGCATGGGGCCAGGGCAGGCTGGGGAGTCTGCCATAACCCTGCTGCCACCCCACAGCCTCTCCAGTAAGCAGTGCCCAGCTGGAACCCCTCCTGCACCCCAATGTCCTGCCCTGAGCCCGTTCCTGCACACTGCACCCCCTCCCAGACCCCAACCCTAGGCCTACTGCATGCAGGGCCATGAATATTTCCTCCACCCAGATGTGGCTCTTGGGCCAAAATGTTTGCCCACTGCTAGTCTAGAATGAGCCAGTGTTGTAGAGACCACCACATTTACAAAGTAGACGATAGTAAGTCTTCCTGAGAGCCCGTAATAAGCTTTACATTTTAGTTTACTGTAGTTAATCCATTGAATTTATGTCCCGTTCAGCCAAGGCTGAACCAGTATTTGAACACTTTGTGACAAGTGGGAAAGGCCCCCTTTTCTAGCCAATTCTCACAGTAGTGCTACAGGCTCACCAGTAGAATAGAGTGCCAGCTGCAACCTCTAGAAACCAGGCAGGGAAGCAAAGCTGCTGTTCTCAGCCTGCCAGTTCTAAATTTCAGTTCTTCAGAAGCTTATTACAATTGGCACATCCCCTCTTTTCTCCAGTGGAGAAGGACAGGAAGCCTGCAAGCTCCACAAGTACTGAGCCAAATGCAACCAGAAAGATCTGGTAACTCCAAGTCCATACTTACCATTGATAAATTCTCCACTTTAACATTGGTCTGCTGGTGTAGGAAGTACTGAGTGAGGAACTGGTTTATTGTTGGAGCTGCCAAGTCAAATGACAAGACTTTCAACACTAAGTGCTCCATCCTTAGGACCTGTTTCTTGGTGTAGGTATCATCTGTGATGTAAACAAACTCTGCTACTTCAGGAGGGTAGATTTCTTCAAACTTCCTGCAGTTTGAAAGAAACAGTGAACTGGCAGATACAGGTAAAGAGAATGTCTATCAGTCTCTTGTGTTTAGTAGAATCATCATGTTTGCCAAATCTGACTGCAGTTTGGGAGATGGCCGAGAACTATACCTCCCTAGAAACTCTGCTGGCTGCTACATTAAGTCACTTTGGCGATCTAGATGTTATACTGAAAGTTTTAAGCAATTCTTCCCAGTACACTATTGATAGTAATGTGATTTTTAGTACCAAAAGTGTACTCCTAGTTACTGTATTTCCAAGAATCTCAAACTAAGTCATGCTCAAAATTTGACTAAAGTTGCCTTTCCATGTTCTCAACCCTATGGACCCGTAGGCCTGGTCTACACTGCAGGGGGCCGCGCCACGCAGGGGGAGAAGAGAGAAGGAGATCGACCTAAGATACACAACATCAGCTACAAGAATAGCTGATCTGCCGCTGCTCCCCTGTCGACTCCGCTTCCGCCTCTCGCCACCGTGGAGTACAGGAGTCGACAGAAGAGCTATCAGGGATTGCTTTATTGCATCTACACTAGATGTGATAAATTGATCCCGATAGATCAATCGCTACCTGCCGAGCTGGCGGGTAGTGTAGCTGTACCCTGAGAAAAAGGCTTTTTAAAAGCTTTTAAGTATTAGTTACATGAACTCAGATAAAGACAGAAGCCACATTCCATGTTGGACTTGCAAATGTCAGGGTTTTTTTAAAAGCCCATACGAGAATGCCAGATGTGAATCTAGGCCTCCTGAGTCTTCTTGGAGAAGGAAGGATTCACTAAGTTGTGCCACCACCCCCAGCTGAGAAAAAAAATACGGCCCTGAGATTTACCTGCTGGACACCTACAGGAAAGGTTAGCAAGTTCTAATAGTTGAAAAGCAATGGATGCCAGTTTAAACTTACGATGCTAGCAGCATAGCTGCAGTCCCCACAAGCTGAAGCTTCCCTCTCAGCACAGACATTGAAGAAAGAAATCTATCAATGTAGTTTACAGCTAAGTGCAGAGTTTCATTCTGTAATTTATATTCTTCTCCAACTTCCACCAGCCAGTCCACAAGAATAGCTCGCATATTGTTTGTTATATCAGGCTGCTTCTTCATGTAACCCATTTTAGGCTTGCATTTTACCTGTTAAGACAGTTGTGATTGTGTAAGTAAGAGATTCAATTAGCATTTGAATCTTGCAAAGGGGTGAGGCTGTTCCCCAGCCTCGGTTTGCCAGAAGCTAGGAATGGATCACTATGATTACCTGTTCTGTTCATTTCCTCTGAAGGACCTGGTATTGACCACTGTCAGATACCATGCTAGATGGACCATTGGTGTGACCCAGTGTGATCATTCTTATGTTCTTCTTCTGATGGACCAAAAATCCACCACAGATAAGAATCCAGGGAGTTTGTACTACATCTAAAGTAGAATCTAGTTTAGATATTAATGGTCTTAGGTCACCAGGTCCATTGTCCAGCCAGTATGGGCTTGTTCTCTATTTTGTGTTTAGTGGATTATCTAGCCCGTTTTAGTATAATTTGAGAAGGGTTTAGCAGTTTCATCAGGAAAGGATTCCATGGTCTATCTAGGTCTTCCTTTCTCAGGCTATAAGTTGCTAATTCTGTCACCGTACTAGGTTTAACACTGCATAAGAATTACTCATGCAGTCTAGAAATTAGACTAAACGCTTCTAGTTCTAAGGGCATATTTATGGCCTCTTACCTCCATTTCCCTAAGGTATGTATAGATGTCTTCAATGTAGTCTGGCACCTGGTTAACATTTACTTTTTCTTCCACTTCTTGAGTTACCGATATATCCATAATACTTGGAGAATCTAAACAAATTCAAGATAGTAGCCACATTATTTTAAGTTTGTGCCAGTTGTCAGCCCACACATTTACAAGAGAGTCTAATGATTACACTAAAACTGGGTTCAGTTTATGCATTTGAGGCACCAAGGCTGCAGCAGTCCAGGGAGACCAGAATGTCATCAGTTTGCAGTTTCATCATACTTCATTCCCATCACTGGGAACTAGACACATTTGTTCTTCAGGAATCTCTTATCAACGTTCCAAGGGAAAGGGAACTCAATGGCAAACTCTCTAACCTGACAATCAGGAGAAGTCACCTTGTGTTACCACGGTAAAATAAAAATTAAAGTTCTGTGCTGATTTAGAGTAAGCCGAAGCCTTTGATCAGTGAGTTTAGAGGTTGGTCTAACATGGAGGTAGATTTTCACAATGTGGATTAATCATAGAATATCAGGGTTGGAAGGGATCTCAGGAGGTCATCTAGTCCAACGCCCTGCTCAAAAGCAGGACCCATCCCCAATTAAATCATCCCAGCCAGGGCTTTCAACTAATCAGTTGCCAGAGCTACAAAACTAGGCTACTGATATGGTCCTTCCACAGAAGCATTTACATGTGCGGAATGTTAGACAAACTGTAGTTAATATCCCATTGTCATTATTTTAGGAATCTACAGGCTACCATATAAGTTATGCAAGTTAACCTACTCTAGATCCATTTAATACTTGGGGGGGGCACAGAGAAGAGGATTAAGGAATTACATTGTGGATTCTAGTTCTGGAAATTGGATTAGACCTTTTAGACAAAAATGTCTAAAAGGAACTATAGAATTATGTATTAGTATTGTTATATTCAGTCATGTGTTTAATAAATGGCATGTTGTGATGTACCTGTGCATACACATCGAGTCAATACAGAATGGAGCAAGACTGCAACATAACAGCAGTTTGTGTTGCCCCACACTTGCCTTCACCGTAACCCCTGACCTCCACATCCCTCTGTAGTAATAGAGGGCCCCCCCACCCCCCTAAATGAATTCAAGCATTTTGAAGCACTTATTTTCAGAGTGAGTTTGGCGCTCCCAGCTCTTGTACTCACATCTGGAGACAGCAGAAGCTAGAGGCACTACCCTATCAGTAGCCTCTGAGCTAAGAGCGTTCCAGTCTCTGCAGAGACTATGCCTGGAGTTAAATAGTCTGCTTCTCTTCCCCTCAGCCTCTAAGACTGTAGCCAGGAGCAGAGCTCTAGAGTGGTTTGTGTCTCCCTGCAATCCACAACTCCCTCCAATGAGGTACAAGGTGGCAGGGTTCAAACATGTCAGTTGCTCATGAGCCACAGTGGGACTGAGAAGGGTAAGGGCACACACAAATATGGCAATTATTGGGCCAAGCAGAGCTATTGCCTGAAAATAGCTTTGGTAATTCACAGGGAGGAAGCATCGGGAAGAAATAGAGTAGCTTCAGGGATTAGCCCAGTGTACCAATTCAATCTGCCTCCTCTCCAAAAGCCTCTAGATGTGGGAGGTTTCAGAGTAGCAGCTGTGTTAGTCTGTATTCGCAAAAAGAAAAGGCGTACTTGTGGCACCTTAGAGACTCTAAGGTGCCACAAGTACTCCTTTAGATTTGGGAGGTCTTCTAAACAACCCTAAATCACTCAAACTGGACCTTTACAGGAAGGTATTAGTTTTCCATTATTTATGGAAAGATCACAGCAGAGACTGACACTTCCCTGTGGGTACTGCTCTGATCCAAGATTTAGAATAGTCTAGTCTTCCCATGATCATGTTGAAAATCTCTATTTGTGATAAATTACTTACGATAATCCAGTTGAGGTTGAGATTGGAAGTGCAATTTAAAGATACCTGCATCCAGTTTCTACTAGCATTTTGCTAACTTAGTTTACTGAATCATTGCCTGTGGTATCAGGTCAGTGACAGGGGCGTAGTGGGAAAAGTGTTCACTTCAGAAAAAACAAGTGAATATGTTATGGATCAGCTAGACAAATGCTTATAAGGTGCAGTGGACACTGTCTGGGGTTCTCTGGTCAGTGTCCCCCTCTGGATCCCTGCTTTTGAACCCATAACCCTCACTCCTGGTCCCCGTTTTTTCATTTGTTGTCCCTGTAATCTTTTGACACCTGGGTCTAGTGGATCCTCCCCAGGGCAGCGGGCAGGCACTAGAGAAGAGACCTTTAGATGAGGATAGGTTAGTGACTCCTCCCTCCCCCAACAGCAGTGGTTCTCAACCCCCAACCCAATCAGGACACAGCTGCAGCCCATGAGACATCAGGGCCATACCAGTAGTATATATATTTTGTGTGGATGGATGTGGGCTACAGTTCACAAGAGAGCTGCATATACAGCCCACAATAGTAAATAGGTTGAGAACCATGGCTCAATAGGAACTGACAAATGCATTAGGAATCTTGGAGAGATTTAAGTCTAGTATTCTTGTTAGAATACTTTGTGTTTGATAAGACTACAGATCTGTAACTTTCAGCCCCAATTAAATTTATGTAGTACCCAATTAAACTGCTGTAGTATTGTATGAAGCAGCCTATATGACAATCCAGAACTGAATTGGGCATATCAATTTCAAAGACATAAGCTATGCTTTATACACCATTTTCTGTTGGTAACTAACATACTTACCAAAACTAAGATCCATTGGATTTTCTATGGGTGCCAAGGGTTTTCTGTCTCCTAATGACGTTACAGCTGTATTTAAGCCTAGGACCCCTTCATGGGGCACAGCCTTTTTAGGAACCACTTGCCTCTTTCGTCTCTCCCCATCAGGCTCATCCATATGGATGGCAAAAGCAGGTTGTTTGTTACCCGCTTTCCCAGCTGGAACCTTGCCATAGTTTTCATCATTAATACTCCAGGGTGCGTGAGCAAGAGCAGCCTAGAATAAGAGTTTGCCATTAGTGTTTCCATGGAGCCCTCCTTTCATCCAACAGGGCTCCGGAGCCCAAGGGAGCACAGACGCGCCACATTTCCATCGCAGCCTAACGCCCGGCGGTTTCCATCGCGATTTAGGGCTGTCCATGGAGGTTATTCCGAGCTAGTCACGTCGTGCCTGAGCAGTCAGCCCCCTCTCTCCTGCTAGCGAAGAGCCACCGCCATGTGCCCGGCCTGCGCGCGGAGGCCCGCGCTCCCAGGTGCTCAGCCTAAGCGGGAGCCGCGGAGGCTGCCCGGCTCTCGGCAATGCTGGCTAGGCTCCCCGCCCATCCCAGCCCGAGCTCCGCAGCCCCAGCCCAGCAGGAGCCAGCTCCCCCGGTCGGCTGCTGACAGCTTGTTGCCGCCGGGCCCGCTCATTGCTCCGCGGGGCGCAGCGGAGGGAAGCGCGGCCCTAAGATGGCGGACGCCGGGCTGCTGCTGCTCACGCTGCGGGGTGCGAGAGCCGGGGCCCCAGGCACAGGAGCCGGTCCCGGAGGCTGCAGCGCCCCGGCGTAGACGCGCCCGCCCGTCCCTAGAAGCGGTAGGGCTGACGCGGGCACAGCCAGCACCAGAGCCCCAGCCCGTAGCTCCCCCGCCCGGCAGCCCCACCGTGCAGCGCCCGCCTTGCCTGCTGCTGGGTCGGGCGGCGCTGGTTGCCCCGCAGCAGCGCCAGCACCGGGCGGGCCCCGAGGGCGGCGGCGGGCGGCCGCGCTTTGCCGCTGGGGGGCACATTCTCCTGGTTCTCCTGCTCCGGGTCAGCGGCGCCCGTCAGCATCGTCCCAGCGCCGGGGGGCTCGTGCGGGCCTCGGCAGCCGCGTGCACCGAGGGGGGGGGGGATCGGAGCTCGGCAGGCACCCGGCGCCGCGCTACTGGGGTGCCCGGGAGAGAGGGGGCTCGCGCTACGGGCAGCTCCTCTAGCCCGCTCCGCTCCCACCGTTCAAGTAGCCCGCGACTATTGAATCCGCCAATGGGGAACCCAGGGCCGTACGTCACACCGCCTACGGCACCCCGCGGGGGCCAAACGCCCTGCGCGATTAGTCGGCGTGGGCGGGGCGGGAGAGAACGGCGCGAGGGGCAGGCACGGGGCGGGGGAAGGGTGGGGGAGCGCGGCCTCTTGCGGCGCCGCGCCGCGCCGCGCCGCCAGGCTGACGGCGCCGCGGTAGGAGCGCAAGGCCCCGATCCCGCAAACCCTCGGGCACGTGGCGGTAGGGTGAAAAAGGCGTTGGCGCCTAGGGCGTCGGGGCGCGCGCCTCTCCTGTAAAGCAGAGCAAACCCAGGCAAGTGAGGCGACCCCCCCAGGGGTCTCGGTGGGAGGCTCACGGCACGGGATTAATGTCTTTAACCTCATAGTTTTCTGCGGTCTCAAGTCTTGTAATCCCGCATTTGTGAATGAAGGAGCGAGGTGAATTTGAGCCTGGAGGCTCCATCACTATCATCTTTTTCTTTCTTTCTTTTTTTTTCACTTTCTTAATTAAAACTAGATTTAATTAGGGCTTGTCTAGAGGGACGCCTATTCCCGATTAACTGCCTGCGTGGATGCTCTTATGCCAGAGTAAGAGTTCTTTGCTCCTGTTTAGTTTTAGCTGATCTGGAAGTGGATTAAATTTATCTGGAATCCTAAAAAATTTTATTCCAGAATAAGAGCTCCACACACGGAGTTAGGAATAGCAATTATGCTTTATATTCACACCCTACTTTGATCCAAATTAACTTCTCAGTGTAGACAAGCCCTTACATTGTATATTTGTGCAGTGGAGAAGGCAATGATCAGTGTTGAATAAAATCTCCCTTTTTAGATAATAATCTATTTCTTATGAAAACTTAGAAACCCAACTCAGGGTATCTTGTATAATGGAATATATATATTTCCAAAACAGTCAGAATTGGAAAACAATTGTATTTCATGTAGATCGTTTTAACACAGGATTAATTCAATCTTATTATACTTGGGATCAGCAGCACTGCAGGATATAAGAGCTTGGATTTTAACACTAAATCCTAAAGCAGAAAATTTACAGCAAAAAGTATGGAATAACAGCTCAACTCTTGCCATACTCCTCTAATGGAGCCAAACACAGAAAAGGCAGATTCACCCCTGGTTTTGGTCAAATTACCCTTTTAACTCTGCTGCCTAGTATGGGGCATGATCCAAGTCCCATTGAAGTCAATGAAAAGACTCTCACTTTAGTTCAATGGGCTTTGGATCATCCAAACTCCCAGACCCTGGGGATAGTTTTGAATATGTGAACCAGCTACCCCATTGTTTGTTTTTTATGTCTGTAACTGGGAATTGTTTATCTCTTTTCCTTTTTCTATAAAGGATCCAGGGGTGCTGGAATAATTTTTATAGTGGGGGTGTTGAGAGCCATTGTACAGTTGTACCAAACTGTAAATCCTGTATATAATAGAAACCACTTCAAGTTGGGGGTGTGGCAGCATCTCCCATACCTGTAGTTCCAGCACCTGCGTAAGGACCCAATAGCTGGTTTTCCTGTCTGGAAGTTGGCACTTTTGTGTATATAGAATTCCCTTTTTGCCCCTCTATGGGTAGTGATTTTTTAATTTCAAGTTACTGACTCATTTAAAATTATTAATCACATTTTTATCATCTGTATAGAGGGTTCCCCCATGCTATTAAGTGGCACAAAATCTTGTAGATAAATGATGCTGTATTTGACATCTTTCTCATTATAAGGGCAGTTTATAGTGCTTATTTCACAATAAACATTTACTTTACTTAGTATAATATAATTTAATAATAATCCTTGGAAAAGTTCACCGTATGACAAAACTATCTACACATACAGGCCTTTACTTACAGAGTGAATTTGGAAACATAGCACATGTTATTAATGAGATTTGTAGTGGCATTTAAAACCACTGATTTTATTTTTTTTTAAGGTTTGAGACATTTTCTGGGCTGTTATATTTTGAAATGCATATGATGTAAATAAAAAGTAATATTAAAAAAGATTGGTATATTACTACAGTTAATGTAGTGCTTGTGTTAAAGGTGTACGCTGATATACATCAGACTCAAGTCCTGCTATTTCTTCAAAACTAACACAGCAATGACACTGGCAGTATAAGTTTCCCCATTCTATCACATTAATATCTCCACCCATTTCTGGAGGGACCACCTCTGGGAGTCAGAAAATAATTCAGTCTTCATGAATGTCCAGTCCTCTGCTGACACTGACAAAGGTACCAGTTGTGATAATGTTCTTTGAGAACAGCTATCCACTAAAAATTGAACTCAGACCATTACAACTAATTTCACCAACCTAAGGACTGCAGGATCGCACCTTTATAGGCGACATGGAACCACTGATGCCATCACCACCAGTCCCTCCTACTGGTTGGCTTTTGTATTTTGAGGAGGGAGAGTGGGCGTGGGAGGGAAGCAGGAAATAGTTCTCGTTAGCACATTAATTTGTTTTAAATAATATATGTAATAAAAAAAAGTTTTTCTAGTGCCTGGTAGATCAAAAGCCAGTTGGTCTAGAGAGACAAAATTACTGTTAAGATATAAATTAATTGCTCTTGGCTTCTTTTCTGAGCTAAATATAGCTTATATAAAGTTCAAATGCAATGGGGGTTTTCTATTACTAAGATGGTGAAAAAAATTGCTAGCTATGGAAGTATAAAAATAAGGCTATTGAGGATTATCTGTTTTGCCTAATTATTAATTAAATGTGTCCACAACTTTGAATATTTAACCATGATCCTATATAGCATTTAAAGCAACATTTATTAATTTATTAGATATTCAGGATATACATACCCATATTTTTGCTTTCTCTTCTCCCTTCCAAGGAGCTTTTGGCTGATTTTACACTGATTTTTTTCCCTGGGTGATATTATATTTTATGTGAATACTGCATCTTTATTATACTTTTGATTCTGAAACGGTAAAAATGTTTTTAAATGACATTATTACTGTTCTTTTGGTAAACAATAGAAGAAAACAGTTGTAGAAAGATGAATAAAAGGCATGGAATAAAAAATATGCTCATTTCACATTGTGAACAGACCTTAGTTACTTGAAGATGATAAATGAATACAAACTTTGATTTAATATGGTAAAACTATAAATATATTTATTGCTAAATTCAGTGGTCTAAAGGACAATACAACTCTGTGAAGAGATACACCAGAAACAAAAGGATTCCAGCACCAGAAATGCTGAAAATAATTTAAAATTCATTTTATTTTGTGCTATGTTTTATTTGCATTTGTAAATAACATAAATACGGAGAGGCAGCATGGGCCAGTGCTAGGGAACTGGCCAGGGACTCAGGAAACGTAGATTCTGTTCCCAGCTCTGCTAGTGACCAGATTTGTGATCTTGGGAAAGTCATGTCTCCTATCTGTGCCTCTGTTTCCCATCCTAATGTACACTGTAAGCTCTTTGGACTGTCTCTCAGGTGTTTGTTCAGTACCTAGCACAACTGGGCCCCAATCTCAGATGAGACCTCTAACCACTGCTGTAATACAAATAAATAATTTTAACACCACATGCAATTAATCTTTAAATAAACTGGAAGCCAGTGTGAGAATGAGAGCCAGATTGAACTGAGTAGACCCATGTACCCAGTCCCCTCAGTGCATGCTACTTTTGACACAAGGAGGTTAACAGTAATGCCTCTGTGGTACTACCTGCATCTGCTCACGCCAGTGGACCCGCAGAGGAGATTACAAGCATGAAGAAGCTAGGTGAAGGCACAGTGTGGACCAATGTTTAGGTTGTTCCCTTTGGCAGCAGCACTGCAAGAAAAGCAAACACTTTCCAAGCTTCTATTGCTGCTGCACTGCCAGGGAGCTAGCAAAAGCAATAGAGGGCCACTCTGAATTGGTGCAAGCCCTCGTCTTGGAAGGCTAACCCTGAAGAGAACACCTTGTGCCCCCAGTGGATGTTGGAAAATGTATATGTTTTTGTACACTGGTGTGGTGGGGCAGTGCCCCACCCCCTGAGAAGAAGGGCTGAACCAGGCCAGAGGCCCCGCAGACCCACAGCAGCCAATCAGAAAAGGCCTACTGGGAGCCAGTCAGGGCCAGGATTACAGCCAGCCAATCAGGGCTAGGCTAGGCCCTATATAAAAGCTGTCCAGGAAGCAAGCAGGGTAGTTTCTCCCTGGTGCTTAAGAGAGGAGGACTGGCTCCTGAGCTGAAAGGCTGCACCTTGAGCAGTGCAGGGGAAGGGCAGAAGGAGCTGGGGAGCTAAGGAAAACCCCCAGGCTGCTGGCCTAGTTACAAAGGGTGGGGCAGGTGTATAGGGCCAAAGGGGAAGCAGCCCAGGGACAATAGCAGGGCAAGGGGAGAGAAGGAGGGCAGAGAGGCTGCTGCTAGAGGGTCCCTGGATTGGACCCTCCCCTGTACTACACCTGGCTGAAGAAGGGCATGGCCTGATCCAGGCTGTGGATGGCCCCTGTGCCAAAGGGGCTAGACTCTGAGACTGCAGCTGGTCACTACAGGAGGTGCAGATGGTGGACTGCTGCTAACACCAAACCCCAGGAAGGGGGCTAGACTAGAGTAGTGGACACTGTCAGAGGGCAGTGTCCTGCAGAGGATGCTAACGAGCATTGTGGGTCCAGCTGCCAGCAGGGTGAGGGATGGATGGGACACCACCAGCAGAGGGCACCCCACAGAGGACAGAGCTAATTTCCAGAGGTCCCACAGTGGTGAGTGCCAACCCTGTCATAACCGGACTCCCTGTTTCTTCCATGGGGGGGGGGGGGTGAGGGGAATGCCTCCCACTCTCCAAGATGCACAAATTTGGGGGAAATGCAATAACTATACATGGGAAGAGGATATTTGGACTGGATCAAAGACCTCAGCAGCTGGGCCACTTTACAAATTGACAGACATTTCATAAGGGTATTACACTTTGGCCTTTTGAATTTTGGTCATTGGTCTAATTTTAAGATTAGATAATAAAAAATAATTCAGTGCTTTAATGTACACT